TTTTCTTGAAATAAAACATTTGCACTGTCAATTACACGGCTTCTTCGTGTTCTTCTTCATCATTTTTGCGCAATTTATTCAAATGGAAAACTCGAGGGCCAAGAGGTCTTTGTATCTTATTACGATTCTGAGGGTGAACATCGTTGTTCATAAATGTATTGTTTGTGAATACGGTGTCATTTCTTGTTATTGGTAAACAACTTAATACAAGCGATTTCAACATCTTCCGTAAATGAGCCATGGTTAATAGCAATAATGTTGGACTAATAGCGGAATTGGTATAACCCAAAGCTACTCCCACTCTTGATAGAATATAGTGAGTTGTGTAGGACATGTCATCTGTTTGCAGCGCAATCTTTACAACATTGAATAAGCAGAAAAGGGAATATGGAAGAATAAACGTAAGTGTTAGCGAGACAAACGYGAWGGTTCCATAAAGCCTCGAACTCCWCGATTTACCTTTATTTTGTKTKGAAGGTTTGTTGAATTGTCTCCTATTCAAGTAAATTAGAATCCGAAAGTTCGTGAAGATCAGAACTATAGCAGGAATGATGTACGTAATTATAGACAGACCAATAAATATAAGTTTGTAAATAGGGACAGTATTGTCATATGTGCAATCTAACGTAAAACTGAATGGACTTAATTCGTAAAGTTGAAGCTGAAACGTTAGTGAAAGTATAATAGAACTAAGAACACCAAGAAACCAGGCAGCTGCGACAAGTAACTTCACCAGGCGCAACGAAGGAATTTKAAGTGGATGAAATACAGAAAAATATCGCTCTATTCCAATTACAAACAGAATATTTGTTGTTACAAAAGGGAAAAACGCGTTCAAGAAACGTACTGCCTTGCATTTAAAGTTCGTGTCTATGATATCAACAAAGTTTGCATAGATGGCGATGGGCATAGATGTTGAAGCGCACAGCAAATCAGATACGGCTAGGCTTTGGACAAAGGCGTTTATAATACAGAAGCGGTCGAATGGACGACGCTTGACATTTCGTTTTCGTTTTCTTTCTCGTTGAATTTGCAAGTAAAGAATCGTGGCGTTTGCTACAATGCCGTAAAAAGCACAGACCCCAATAAATGTAAAAATGGTACGTTGTATGTTGAAAGCCACAGGAAGAAAGACATACCTTGTCATGGTACCGTTCAAAGATTGGTTGCTTAGCATTTTACTYACAATATCTTAAATCAAAAACTGACCAATTTGAGAATTGAGTCCGAAAGACCAGACCAAAAGACCAGAGAAGACTCAATGAAGCTTGTGGGATTTTTTTTTATAGAGATACACCTTGTCAAACGCATTAACGAATGATTTTAAAAGAACTTTCTAAGAAAACAATACTAAACTTCCTCGCATTGTTTTCTAAAAAGACAAATTAGAGCGATGACARTTTTGGTATTTTGCACATCCAGCTTCCTTAATCATCATAGAAGCGCTCGCMTACCATTTACAGGAAACTAGTACAAGTAAATACAAATTGACCCAATGCAACTTTTTACAATCAGTGTATTTTACATTTTTGCATACAATTTGTAGTTTTTTGCTTGTATTTGACGCMTATAGCTATCACATGCGCATGACGCCATTACTTTTACGCAAGATAAAACCAAAATGTCATCACTTCTTACTGGGATTAAAGRCCAGAACAATATAAGAATACCATTTTCCTCTTAAAGATTATGCAAAAATTCCTAATTAACTCAGGACGTTCTCTTTGATCCGATACGRCTTATAGAGAAGATCGTTCTTATAATGGAAAACACGGTCATCCACAGGGTATTTCTCTCAAGCTCTCAAAGTTTTGATCTATTCATTGTTTACATCTCATACATCACTTAAAATTCTATTTTATAGATGTGTTCTGCATTCTTAACGTAAACGAAAAATGATTTTTTATGGTGTTTTTCATGCAATTTTTCACCACACCTGTTTTCTACAGGAAATACAAATGTTAATTAAAATGTTAGTTAATCCTATGAGGAAGTGGCTGATCCCATTAAAGAGTGCTCAATACACATAAAGTGTAGAGCTAGTTATTTTTAAATACTGTCTGATGAGTGCGTAGCACGAAACTCGGAGTTACAGCAAAATCTTGCCTCTTTGATATCATATATATAAAATGTTAGTTATTTAGTTTTTAGTATTTTTAGCGACTTGATGCAACTATAGATAAAAAAACTGCAGTTACTAGGAAATCTGGCAATTATAAAGTATATAGAATAACGTGTACYAGTGGGGGGTGGGATGGGGATGTATTCTCAGCCATAGTCTGTTATCTTGCCCGTCCGCCTTCCAGTATCTTTCTTTTCCTTTAGTCTTTAAYGTTCTGCTTGGCTTARGACACTGATGKTGAGTCTAGCTTAAACCCCTGTCGTCTAGGCATTGATGAGCAGGAGTGGGAGCAGCCATCRACATCAAAATGTTTAGTGTTTAGAATGTTCTTGTCCTGTCATGGTTTCCAAGGATCCTAATCCTTCAGCCTTTGTGATAGTTTATCGTTAGCTACAATGAAAACTTGCTGTGGCAGGATCCTCGTGTTGACACAAAAACAAGACATCTTTGAATTTATCGATTAACGTAAGCAGTTTAGATCGACGCAAGTTATTGTAGTACATAATCTCTTCGATGTGGTGCTTGCCACGAAAATATGGCACGAGTCTAAAGAACATCATATACCAAATTATAAGCATTAGGTTTTTGTTGATATCCCTGCGATATCGCTGCTAGGGTTCATAAAGAAATGAAAGGTCTTTTCAAACTGTATGATTATATTTAATAGCGTCATAAATACTTGCGCAAGTGTACATCTATAGTAGAATGATAACGTGATGTGGTGTGGTGTGGTGTGGTGTGGTGTGGTGTGGTGTGGTGTGGTGTGGTGTGGTGTGGTCTTACCTGGCGAATAACTTAAGGTCTTCTTCATCTGACGATGCAGGAGTCTGCATAATGCTCATTTTCTCAGCAAACGACAAAGACCTCACACTGTCAATTATTTTGTTGATTGCTGTAGGCTCCATCGTATCCACGGGTTCTTTATCAGTGAATGGCAAGAATGTATCTGTGTAACTCCCGCCAAATATCCATCGAATGCGTCGTCGRCCTCGCGCACCACTAGATGGGTCAGACTGCTGGTCAAACTTAGCTGACGGTACGAGGAAGACATAGGTCTGTAACTAATTTGAAAATCGATTTGAAAAATGAATATAGAGATAGATAAACAGTAAAAATGGTGAATATATTGTGATAATGATATCGAAATACCTGAATAAGTAGTCGATGTTGCAACATCCATACCACCATTTGAACTTTTTCTGCCTGAAACACAATTCATTGATATTACGCACAACGTGACAAAACTCGAGCCCAAAGTCTCTTCACGGCTAATGTCAGCGGTATGTTGACGCCGGAAAGACTTCCGCATTGACTTCTGCTGGATAACAAAGATTGGAGAAATCGATGGTAGGATATTATGCCGTACTGCACCCTGGCTCCCAGGCTACTCTCTGTCAGTTCAAGATGACGCCCAAAGTAAGTGACGTCATACTAAAAGGCAAACAGAGAGAATTCTGGGGACAAGGCCACCGTCTCTACTACACCTGTTGCTGTGGGAGGCTAAGTGGATTGTAATGCTCGGCCAGAGGGCTTGGCAAGGAGAATTCAGCCAATGTTTCATGGAGCGATATTTTTGGAAAGCGAGATGAAAATTCGTCAACTAAAGGCGAAGACCTAATTGGAAATAATAAAAGAGAGATTGCTATCGTAATTATCTATGAAAATAGTTCATAAAGTTGACAAACTCACATATCGACTGGTATGCTCGGTGCTACCGCGTATACGTTACTTTCACAAAGCGGGAAGATTATGGACGCTTTTCCCCAGTACACGAGATGTGCTGCAATTGCGAAGATCTGAAAGCGTCGAGAATATTGCTCTTAGAAATAAAGAAATAACTCATATTAAGTTTGTGTAAATTTGATGAAAGAATAGATAAATTGAGAGACTGAATGTATCGATGGAGAGATCGATAGGCTGAGGCATAGAAGGACAATTCAGTGAAGTTAACGAAATGAAAAAATAAATGAATAAAGGAAAGAAGGAAACAATTGAAAAAAATGGACCAAAGAGCCAAGACTTGAAGTACAGTAGCTAGAGCAGTCGCTTTGGACAGTTTACACAGTACGCTAATAAGTTGTATAATCTCTTTTTAAAAAGTTAAGACTTGTCTTTTAGAATTACCTGAGACAATGGGATATCTGTGTCCTGTGAGAGAGTTGTAAAACTGAAATTACAAAGTAATTATGTAAGTGAGAAAAGATCTCCAATGACGACGTTTAGCACCAAAAACACTTCTTTTCGCGGTACGATATCTCTGTTTCATATTCCATCAATAATAAGGAAATTTCTTAATATATTCAAAAAATGTAGACTGCCTCAATGTAGAAAAGTAAGCACGCCAACTTGTACCTTTTCAGTGGAGAAGCTCTACGTACAAGCCTCGTGAGCGCGGGTGAACAATCACCTGGAAGCGAGGCTAATAGGGCGTCTTCTTCTACCAAAAACAGCAATGTGTGATATGGCCTGTCMAAWACAACAAAGAGTCACACTTTCACGATTAGTTTGTCAATTTGTTGTCTGAGAAAACAATGAATTGAAATCGTTGAATAGAGATTGCACGAACAAATGGATCTGATCTCAGTGATTTCTTCAGCTCAATCAAAAAAACACAATCATAAATTCTTCATATTTTTCAAAACAATTGCCTGAGATAGGTGATTGTTCCATAAACGATACCCAGAATTCCTTTCGGTTATACAATATCTTTATTCACCATTGTCTTTAAAAACCTTTTTTAAATAGCAGTATACCTCATAGCAGCAAGTGATGCTTCGATAGCCTTTGGCTGTAACAATTAAAATAACAACAAAAAACACATTGATTACATTAGATGCCACATTGTGTGACCTGAAGTTGTAGCTACTAATTTTAATTAGTAAAAAACGCTTTTTTGGCCTCAAAAGTGAGGGGGGTGGTCATCTCACAAAGTATAAGTCCGTTGAGGCTCATATTTCGCCATTCTTACTTATATTCGATACCTAATAAATGGTATAAGTTTGGGGTAAATCGGCCGACAACCATCTTTTCACCCTGCCCGGTTTTCTCTGACAATCACTCTTAACTTCTTCTCATCATGCATTTCTGATTCATTCAAATTAGTGGTGGTTCCAGGGGAGGGGTTATGAAGGTTACAACTCCCTCCATGACAGTGATAGATTTGGTGTTTCTTCTTCAATTACTACAGTCACCATCATATTGTCCTTTTTATTTTGTAATACCACAAACTTACAAATCCTGTATTGTTCATCCCATTGCAATGTGCATAGGAGTGATAATGATCTGTCACATAAAGTCAACAAAGCACTTCAGATAAGTTTGACTTACTGGAACTCTGAGAATTCCTTGGTTTAGGTTGTGTACTTTGTGAGGCAAACAAAAACTGACATTAACCCATCCATTGACCATTAGTTGTACAACACCAGTCTCACATAAACTAGAACCAAAAAAAAACATGAAGATTTGATATTTTTCTTTTATAATTTCAAGACAAACAGGACATTAAATCTAATAATAATAATTTGTCATTTCATAAATCACAACCTTTGAAATGCATCTTTTAGGTCTCTTGCAAGGGTACTTTTTGGAAGCATGTGTTCRAAAGGATTTTCAGCAGAATCTTAAAAAGATGMAATAMTTTGGATTAATACTAAATTTAGCACTCTTTTTGGGAAATATTTAAGGTGATTGTCAATTTTGCTGCCACAATGATGGAATGTTRCAATCTGGASRAATTCCTCWWTCGCGCAGCTTTAATCCATGTTGTACCTTCTGGCATGGATGAAATCTCATCGTGCACTGCTAGCATATTTTCTCTTTGTCTTGTCAGATAACAACATCTTTAAAAAATGCAAACAAACATCAGGGTGATTGAACTGACCAAAAAACATGTAGTTATCAGAGTTTSAGCAGAAGTTGAGAAGTGAYGATGGGATACCTGTGTTCTTCATGCTTGAGAGCTATTGCAATTCTTTTTGAAAGATCGTGATAACAATTGATCACAGAATTCTCTACACCTGCCTGGAATAYCATTAGAATAGATTGGTAAAAAGAAGTAAAAATTGATGAGTAGCTTGTACATAAAATATCTAGAAAGATGAAAATTTTAACTATTTTTTGAAAGGGAAAAAATATGTTAATTGTGCAAGTTTCACCTTCAAAACAAAGACAACGTTGAATAACTTGAGCATGACATTCTCTTGATTCTTGCTGCTTTCACATCTCTGATAATTCAATTAGTTAACAATGATAATTAATAGGTAATRATAGAATATTAGTCTTCTGAACAGTTCTATGCACCATCTTAAAAGTTTGCCTTTGCATAGAAGTCAGACATCTGGTGAGCATATGATAATACATCTTCTTGCATTGCACACTCAATGGTAGACTTAGCTTTCAAGATGTATTATGCGAAGCATGAAGGAGAAAGTTGCCAAAAAAAAAAAATAATTTGATGAGGAGGTCTACTTGAAAGCCTAGAATGATTCCATAAGTCAAAGTTTTTGCTTCTTGACTTGCAAGTTTGTCTCTCAAACTAGCCACAAAATGTATGACTTAGAGAAAACTGGGACCTATGAATCAATCTACCTGAAATCACTGCTTCGTAAGTTGGATGAAAGAAAAAAAATCACAAACCTTCAAGTTAAGTGGTCCCTGCAGCTCCATTGGATGACCAACAAATATTACATTGTCAATTTTGAGAAGAAATGTTTTCCCAGAYAATTCGACTTTGGGTGTGAGTATGTTTGCCAATGTGGTGTCTGAAAAACTGGAATTTTTTAAAAAGGAAAAAAAAACATATAAGTTTAAGGTATGATGGAAAAACATGTACTGCAGTTTGTTGCAATAGAATAAAGAATTAATTGTATTTGTTTATTCGTTTACCTTGCTGCACTGACGTCTTCAGTCTTTGACACATCATAAAAGCTTTTGGTTGGATCTAAGTTTATAAAATTTCATGAAAGTAATCTTAAATTGACTTAAAGTTTCCTTTTTTATTACCATTCAGACAAAAAATATCACTATCAAGCTAAAGGCTGATCTAGAAGGAAGTTCTTAATTACAATAACAACAAAATAAAATATAACAAAAAATAATCAACAATTAGTAATACATTACTCTCTCAGCTATGAATCTAAAATGATTTTCCGAGAGTAACCTCACCGCTTTCTTGTGCGACCTCTTCCGGTTTGTCCGTCGAGACTGGATAACGAAACAAGACCTTCTGTCCTCTGCTACCTGCTGTAACTAGTATAATACTCACWGGATCACAGTTAAAGCTGCTAAGATTCATGCTTTACATGACTTTAGCCTTGCATCTTTACCTTGCAAAAACACAACAACATACAACATTTCATCCGCCATATTGAAAATCGAGAGAGCCTGGTAAAGAAAGGGAAACAGGGACCCCAAAGCAGTTCCCCAATGTTATTTGAACACGTTATTTGATTATCAAACTGATACACAAGGAAATGTTTCTCTTTGAAAAACATACGAAAGGAGAGACACGATAGTTTKTTGATAGTTTGAAACAGACCATACATATTGTGCGGGACGAAAATGTACTGRAATCAATGCGAACGGAAAACTTTTGTTACTCTTTAGCTATGTCTGGTTGCTAAGAATCTTTTATATTTATTTTTTATTATTATTTTACGTCAGATTAGGATAGCAATTCGATGTCACGTATGATCGTATGTAATGCGCATTCATACCGTTTTTAATTACCGTTTTCATTAAAATAAAGCCTAAAGCCAAGTTCTTAATCCTCGGCTGTGAGTTCATATGACTTCATGTGTGACAGATTCAAGCTATTATAGGATTTTTGCCTTAAAAATTCTTTCATCGTGAAAGATAAAGTTTAAATATATCGACAAATACAGCTCCAGAAAATGGAGTTATGAAAAGAAGCTTGAGCAAACAGATTAGACCACTGAGGGGTYTCTTTAAGAAGCTCTTACAAATGTCAAATAGTGACGTCGATTTTTAATTGAAACCGTTTTTTCTGAGCAAAAGGCGCMAAAGATAGTCCAAAATTCCTGGCAAAGTATTTTGGAAAACTMTTTTGCTTACTCAGTTACTTTTACAATATTTAGCTACTCTGGACATGTTTCAAGTGATGTTGTTTTTTTGTGACAAGTCGAACGAATTTTCTGCGCTTAGTACAATAAAATGTGAAAAACGAYGTATAGGTGACTGCTCTAGTATGACAGACAATTCCGTTATTGAAAGTAAGTTTCTTCTGGTTGTTACGACAGAGCGTACAAGACTGTCAATATGGCTTCTTTATAACAGAGCTCCGATGTTTTAATAATCCAATGAAAAACCGCGAAATAATTGTATGTGTTTACACAGGGTAGAAATCGACCGGTAGAGARTGTTTGTCAGGCTGACAAAAGCCTCTAAATATCTCGCCTTTAAGGGCCTTTTTTTGACACGTTTAACCCTGCCAAAGTCAAGCATACCTTTTAGTGATAGACATGTCTATTTAGTACGGAACAGACACAACGCACACAGGCTATTTTTAAGTAAGAGAAAGMATCATTTGAAGTTTTTTTAACTATATACTGTAGTCTAAATGAATGTTGATCAGCTGTCAGTGCTATCTCGGCTAAGATAATTGAGAAATTATCTTCCATCTGCATGAAGTCGTTTTCAACACTTCACAAAAACTTAAATTTAAAAAAATGCACAAAGGAAAAATATTTTTTGTTAGTATTATCAATAACAGTGAATAAAGAAGCCGACTTTACTGAATTTTTAACGTTAAAAACTGACCAAAATCAATATGTCAACATTTGACTAACACCGGCAGCCTACCCTAAAACATAACACTCCTATTTCAGCAGTTTTCGGCTTATAAATATGCATAGATAGTACTGACTCAAGGACAGCAAGGGACAGTCAACAAATACATCTGCATCAAATAACAGCAAGCCGCGATGTATGTTTTATTATGTGTAAGGAAGGYTGCCAGAAAACAACGATGTGTTGCCACATGGCCCACGCAAAAACTGATTGTATTGGCAATACGTTAGATGAATTTGTTGGCTGAAGGCTCCAAGTTCAAKAAGAAAAAAATCTACTTAAAGTACTAAAGGATAATTTCTCTTTAGCCGTCACGTAGTGAACGTTACATTGTGGCCGATAAGATTTTTTCACGGTGGAATGGCTGTTGGCTTAGATGTCTTTAAAGCAATTCTTTCTCGGATGCTATTTGCAACACACTCTCTTGTCACCATATATTGGGTGACTGAGACCACCGAAAACCCTAAACTGTGGTTWTTAGCCGTTATTCTTGTGGCTTTAGCCATTGAAACTGTCCAGTGCGTTATCTTTAGAAGAGGCCAGGAAAACAAGTGGTGAGAGTATGTTTTCATTTTTATCTAATACACCTCTTTTACTGACTTCTAAATATCTCTTCAGCTGCAAATCGTTAACCCTTTTATTTTGAAACAAAATGTTACTCTTCAACTTTATTTCTATTGTACCACGTTTGCTTTAATTGTTAACCAAAAAAAATTAGAATCTAAGCTATTTCTGTGACATTTCACTGCTTTGCCTTTGTATCATGWTAGCAAGATAATGCTGTCCTTGCGCAAAATATTAAAAACGGTACCCTTTCTTCAGCCTCAATGATCATTTCATCATGATCGAGAGTTGCTCTTTATTGGAATAAACTCAGCTACATTGCKTTCGAAGCATGTGTCATTTGAAGTTTAAAAAAGTCTTAACCCTGCAAATTTAACACAACCGACCTCTCATCATGAGAAGTGCAGGTTATGCCTGCGGGAGGTCTTGTCCAGCTGCCTTGGGTTTTTGGGAATTTCTCTTTAAGATGAAGAAAATATATATAAATGTAGCCAGGGCTGCTGTGGTGGAATAAATATGTTTTAAGAATCCAAGCTTTCGCTGYAATAAAGCATCGCCAGGGAATACATGACAAGAAGAACATCCTAAACTAAAATGAGTGGATCATTCATTCTTGATATTATTCTTGGCTCATGTGTTTTCTGACGATGCTGTAGCACTTGTTTTTGCAGGCATTGCAATACAAAATAATCATCTTATCAGATGTTAGTTACAYTCTTACACAACAAAAATATGGAAAATTAGCTTTTTTATTGYACATCTTCATTTTTTAGTCAATTCTCATTCGCGATTATCATTTTCGCTCCAAATCTCAGTTAGGTCGCCGCGGTCACTCAAAKTATAACTATTATACTAGAATGTTGTGAATCTCGGCGTTTTAATAACGAGTAATTAAAGTACTTGGCTTTTTTTACATTATCTGCAAACATTGAAAATTATGTGTTTACTTTTTAAAATGATGAAAATTTCCCAAAATCGCACGAATCTGATTTATATATTTCAGATTTTCCTTCAAAACTCACAATATTAAAGTAGTTACAGTTGCAGTTGCTTTGCTCGCTCTTTTTTTATATATATATTCTATGAGAGAAATTGAGCGTTTCTGTGGCTTTTTCAATCACAGCCAAAGTTATGGCAAGTTTTCTCCATATGGAAATTAAAAGTGGCCAAAATCGTGCTTAAAATCATAACATTTGAAGTTAACTTAAAAGTATTTTTGCAACTTGACCAAGTAAGCATGCTCTCACAAATATTCATTGGATGGTCAATCTATAGAAAAGGACCGTAAAGAATCTTTAAGGGATCGGAGTAGGATTTCAGCCAACTATTTGATWATGAGGACAAATAGGCATTAGCAGGAGWAAGCCGAAAAAAGTATAAGATGCCCCTATCCCGGCTTGTSGATGTTTGAAATGACTATTATCTGTCATTGTAAGCCCAMACAGTCTCAGACAGAAGTCATTAAAACTATAAAAATGGATCAATCTTATACTACTTTGTGGTCTTCGGATAAGGCAATTAATTYCCATCTACTATATCTCACAATTCTAATTATTTTCTGTCTAAAACTCACTTTTTGCGGATATTGAATTTTGTGTTGATATTAATAAGCCGACCAACGCCGCAAATGTTTGTGTAATTGTACAATTAAAAAGAGGTTTTATTTCCGATGAAATCCTTGTTTTCTACGCATCTAAGACACTTCTATTCTATGATGCCTGTTTGATATTTGTCTGAAGATTTGGTGTCCTGATTGCATCCTGAGATTTAGGGAGATGCAAAGTACACTAATAATGGCGGTTAAACTGACGTGATATACTAAATGCTGAGYGYAAGATCTGTCTGAATAACTTACTGGAAATCAGAATTCCGTCATAATGATATTACCCATTGATATAAACAAAACACATGCATAAAAACAAACAAACAATCTATAAAAAAGAACTTTCCTATAGATCAATGATGTTCAACAATTGAAAAACAATGGTGAATAATTAACATAGTTATACACCAGTAGAATAATATCATAAAATACATGCAAAACGTGTATTATTATTTTCTTTTTTTATAGGGTATCATTTAGTATTCTATGCTACCTGGCAACCATCATCCCCTGTGCCTGGTTAATGGAACTACACCTTTTAAACCAGCGCATTGAWCCATCTACGGTGAGTGYACTTGTTTTGTATACTACGTCGTGTGTGTGCTTCATCTACTGTAATATACCGTCCTCAGCTATCATCTGCTCTACTATACCGTCCGATCCTCACTTAGCTATCATCTGCTATATT